GTGGGTTAGCTCCCTGGCTGGGGATCAAACTTGTGCTGCAGTGGCTTCTGAGAGCTCCATAATGCAGTGCTTCAACCTGTTGTACCACCAGAAAGAGCCCGGAGGGTTAAAGGTTTTAATAAAAATGCCTCCTCTACTATTTCCCAGCTACTTAGTTTGAAAGGGGTTTGAAGTTGATATTTGTGTGTTGCTTCAGAAAATGTTACTTCATCTCAAAAACGAGTGCCATGATTCAAATGAGACTTTGTGATTTTTCAAAGATTTCAACTGGATGAAGTCCAGAGTAGCTCTTTAATTGATAATAATAGGTTCAATGCAAAATAAGTAACAGGAATCTTTCAAAAAGATGAGAATTAAAATTTAAATTTGAAAAAATGAGTTTGGGGCATTAGCTGGGAAAAGAGGTGACAAAGCCACAGACTTGAGTACTAGAGACCTGCATTTGGCTGTGGCTTGGTGTAAGTGTGGGCCTTTTTGGCTTTGGTTTCTCTGTGTATAGAGGAGGAAATAGGTATTTGTGAGAATACCTTGCAGTCTAACAATATAATTTTTGTCTTCTTACTGATTAAACACAGTTGATTTTGACCAGCGTTTAAGACTTTTTTCCCTGGAGACAGCAGATGGTAGAGGGAGCATTAGTCATTAACAACACTGACTTTTGAACAAAGCAGCCTGGGTTTGTGTTTTACTTCCAAAATTTATTAACTCCTAGCCTATGGCAAAGTAGGAACATCTCTCTGCCTCTGTTTCTTCACTCATAAAGTGGGGACAATAAATTTCCATATTTCATTGGTTATTGTGAAGAATAAGTAATTTAACATATACAAAGTTCTAGAACAGTGTGGTATCTAGCACATGATAAATGCTATGTACAGGTTACCTTCATTATTGTTACAGCACCAGCATTGACTTCTATTGCTGCTCAATGGTCTTTTGGAGGGATGATGGGTTTCCTTCTTAGCTGGAATTCCCTGAGCTTTTTGGTCAGTGAGGTGAGGATAATGTGGTGGTTGTAGCTCTAAGCCCATGAGGATCAATAGGCCAGTTCTACAGCTGCAGCCTGCCCATGTGTGCTCACGCTCAGGAACTGACTGCTCTTTCCACTGCTCTGCTCTTCTCAGGAAGGCAGCAACCTCCTAGTAGATTTCTGGAAGGGACAGAGATGCCTCTCACCATGATAGAAAGTAAACTGAATGTGGCTGCAGCATCCTGCAGTGTCCTAATGCAGTGATGTCTGATGATATGTCCAGTGGCTAAGGATATAGGTTCTACATTCACTTTGTCACTTTGCCAACTTGGTTACCTTGGGTGAGTTATTTAATGTCTCTATGCTTCTTTCACCAATTTCTGCAAAGGAAATAGCAATAATAATAATCTCCTTCATGGTGTTGCTGTGATAATGAAATGAATATGGTGACTAATATGTAGCCCCAAGATGGTTCACAGTGTACACAGTCATGTGCCATGTAGTGAAGTTTCTCTTGGTGGGCTGCAGGAGGGTGTGCAGTATCTCTATAGCTGGGGGTGGGGGTGGGGGCAGTGGGCTTTCAGCCAGGTCTGTGTAAGTACAATCTATGACATTTGCACAGTGACAAAATCAGCTAATGAAGCATTTCTCAGAATATATCTGCATTCCATTAAGTGACATGACTGTAGTATATGGTTAGTAAACATGAAATGTTATTACTTTTCTTATTAAGTCTAGCTAATGATGGACATATTTTTCTGTGTATGATCATTAACTCACGGGCGGGGGAGGGTGAGTCAAGGACCATAGATGGGTAGTGAATTATAATTATTGATTTGATGGGTCAAAAAGCATCTATGGAGCCCTCCCTGGTGGCGCAAGGTGTTAAAGTGCAGCACTATGAAGCTCTCCACAGCCACCGCAGCACAAGTTCGATCCCTGACCAGGGAGCTAACCCACATAGTACAGGAGGCCTCTCCTGTCTGACCTGCTGCTCCCCTCAGCAATGTGTTCAGTATAGAAGCCTGTTCTGCTCCCCATTCTGTCTCTAATGAATCTTCTCACCCCAGCACCTCTGGCCTATACTCCAGCCTTTGTATGCATAAATAAATAAATATTTTTAAAAAGCATCTATGGACAAACTCAATTTGTAATTGATGACATATGACTACTAAAATTTATGAAACTGGCCTGATAGTACAGAGAGAACAGGACCTCAGAATTTGAAACATCTCCCATGGACACCAAATCCAACCCTCTCCCATCCTGTACATAGTTTTCCCTGACTCTCACCGGGTACTAAACTCTCTAACTGACCCAGTTCTCCAGATGTGAAGCTGCTTCCCTGGGTCTCCCACATGTGATAGCCATCTCACACTGGTGTGCTCAGCCCAGCATGTTGAGACAATATAATTCTACCCACAATGATGTCTATCTTTTGGGAGGGCCTGGGAGTAGTTATGGAAAATCTAGTCTCTCTTGAGGTGTCAAGTCCTACCATGGTGCTGGCATTGAGTGAGCTGGTAACAGTGTGATCTCTGGTTCTTGATCAGCTACTTCCAAAGGGGGACACCCATAGAACATGCCGATGCCTGTCAGGAAGTGTGGAGTAGAGAACTTAAATGTAGAAAAGACCTGGGCAGTGATCCAGGCACTAGAACTGATACACACATGATGAAACAGGCCCCAGAGGGCTAGGGATCTGGACACACGGACTCAGCTAATCGGCATGAATAGATACAATAAAAGTTCTTTCTGTCACCGTGCCTCTGGTGACAGGCTGCCTTGAGTTAAATCTTGGTTCTACATCTTATTGGCAATATGATCTTTAATCAGTTGTAAATGTTTCTCTGCCTTGATTTTCTTATTTGGAAAATGGGAACAAACAAATTTTAATAATATCTGGAACACACTTAACATTCAACAAGTGTTGCTATTATTGCTTGTCTTCTAAAGAATCTCAGAAATGGAATACTGCCTCTGAAGCCAGAGAATAAATGTTTTGACCAACTGGTGTTTAAAGTATTTTCTCACACTTGAAATATTGTTTTTTAGTTCTTTTTAGCTTCTGATTTAGAAGTGATCTTCAGGACCCATCTGTGATTTAACAACCATATTCTTCTCTGGAATCACTATGTGACTCTTGGATGAAAGGAAGAAATCTTTAAAAAATAATTACCCAACTATCATTTCCAGTTCATGCTCAGCAAACATTTACTGAGTCATCTGCCATGTGCCTGGCACAGCGTTGGCGCTTGGAGGGTTGTGACGGCAGTGACCTGCTGTGCCCCTTACCTTTGTGGTGTATACAGGCAGGCATTGCCTAACGAGAGGATGATTGCCAGAAATGCATTTCTAGGTAATTTTGTCTTCATGAGCATGGCAGAAGTTAGTTAATTAATTTAGCTGGGATTGCCTACTACACACCTAGGCTATATGGCGTAGCCTATTGAGATTACCACTGTCTACGTGGTCTTTTGTTGACCAAAAAGCCATTAAGTGATGCATGATTGTCAGGATAGGTGGAACATGGGTATCAAAGGCCAAGGGTCTTTCTACTTACCCCTGCAGCAGCTACCACGCTCACCCTGATTGGCAATTTAATAGAGGATTCTGTCACAGTACTTGGGAGCACTGCCAGAACAGGATAGAGAGCTGTTCTCCAGAACCTGGGAGGAGGCCTGAACCTCTTGTAATGGGTCTGGGAAGGCTTCCTGGGAGAAGTAGTGTCTATGCCGAGACTTGGGTGAGTTAGATTCTTGACTGCTCTAGTTGGGGGCTGGAGAAGAACATCCCAGCCACAAAGAACTGTGTGTGAGTATGTCTATATGGGGGTGCTCAAGAGAAGACACTAGGAATTCAGTGTGTTCAATTTTTAGCAAATATTTTTGAAGCACTTGCTATGTGATTGTGTTTCTGCTTTACACAATGAGTAGACACCAGTTAACAAAGTAGGTACTCCCTTTATTTTCACGGAATTTATAAGGGAAAAAACAAAAAAGAAAACTCTTATGAGGAGAACATTTTAAGGTAGTAGGTGAGAGAAGCCTGAAGGAGGAAGTGGTAGTTCAGCAGAGACCTGAGTGGTAGAAGGAGTCACCTACTTATAAAGCCCATGGGAAGGGGGTTTCCAAGGCAAAGGGACAGCAAAGGTAGAGACCTCAAAGAAAGAAACCATCTCAGCAGGATGGAGAAACTGAGGACCAGTGTGCTGGGTGTGGGAAAGGCAGTGTTAGTAATTGATAGGGTTTGGAGCTGGGGTGCTGGTACTGAGAAAGATGTGAACATTTTTAGTGCAAATCAATTTTTTTTTAAATAGACACACAATATGGATGTCTTTTTTTTTTTAAACCAGGAAACTTTTGGGAAATCTGTTTCAAATATTACTTTTTTGAAGTGGGGCTTGGCCCTGTGTGTTTTAATAAATGAGATGAGGCAAGGAGCACACTTCCACCATCACTGACTGGGGATGCACACAAGGTGATTGCATGGGTACCTGTTCCCTTCCGGGTCAGAACACGGACACAGCAGAGCATTCCAGGAGGGCCACTGAGCTCCGTGAGGGTACTCGTTTACTTGTTAACTTGACTGTGGGTATTTCAGTGGCTTCTCTTGGGTGCTACTCACATATTTTGAATTATCCTCATAAGCCTTCTTTTCTTGTTTTATTCCTTGGAACCAAAATTTGTATTTCAAAGGGGCTTTTATTTCTTCCCAGCCAGTTTTTGTCTGCTTTGATCCAGACTAATGGCCCATATTTCTCTCTTCTGTTCCTCCAAACTGTCTGTATTCTCCTAGGCCCTGCAGAAGATGGTCTCATAACTCTTGTTGTTTACTCCCAGTGAACAGCTTTGGAGAGGATGAAGAACTGTCCACGTCCTCCGACAGTGACGAGGAGGTGATCAAGCAATTTGAAATTTCAGTGTCCCGATCCCAGAGTTTCCGTTCAGGATCTGCTGAGAAAGGAAAGCAGACAGGATTGGAGCAGAAAGCAAAATTCAACCACTTAGTTGCAACCCATGAAGAAGACAGCACTGAAGTTTCTGCCTGTGGAGGTATTTTTTGCACCAAACCCTTTGCCTAGATTGGGAATGGCTGATGTAAAGAACATTTTTGAGTCACTGTGCTTGTATCTGCGAGTCCAGATGGGAAAAGCAAATGGAGCAGGACTCAGTCTGGCGCAGGCCAGAGGCCTACTTCCCATTTCCCCGGGCCGGTCGTGCAGAGGACAGGGAGAGGAAGTGGACCAGAAGTATGCAGGTCTTCACCCCAGATTTGTGATACTCTTTCTTGTATTTTGAACACTAATGATTAGAATGGTATTTATCAAGCATATGAAATATTATTCCTTCCCGATAAGTACAAAAATGTAAAATACCTCTCTGCTAATATCAAGACTGTACCTTTTCTCCCTTTGGTATAATAGAGTACATAACTTCAGAAGACTTTTGAAGCCTTTAATCTTACCAGCCCATGACCGACACACTCTCCCTCATTTCCTATAGTTTCTAAAACCTCCCCTTCTGCCCAGTGACGGTCACTGGGGAAGAACAAGGTCTTTTCCATCCTTTAGAGCTTCACTAAGTTTATCTTTCACAAAGGGTAGGGGAAGATATTTGGAGGTGGAGTAAGCAAGCTGGTGTCTTGTGCTGACAGGTAGAGCTTGTTAAGAGTCCCCCTCCTCCCCTAACCTGGAGTGGGGTGCAAAGAGAACTGTACAGTATTTCCTGTGCTTTCCCAAGGGAGCATCAGGCATCTGACTCCTTTTGCCCAGAACCCAGAAGTGTCAGAAAGCCAGATAGGGAAGGACCTGTGCAGTGTATTTGATAAAAAGCTAGAGCAAATGCATTTTGTCTGCCTGAGCAAGTGGCCTCACTGTCCTAGGTTTTTTTGCTTTCTTTAGGGGCAGATCGCCAATCGAGCCAATGGGAGCATAACTGTAGGTTTTTCCTGTTTTCACCCCAGAGGAGAGTGTATACATTGAGAAAAGCTAACCAAGGGGAAATTTCTGTTTCCTAAATTTAAGTGACATTGTTATGTAAGCTTCAGGTGCACTTCCCTGAGCACTGGCACGTGTGTGTAGCGCATACCTTTACTGCTACACACTCTGTTCGGTTCTTCTTCGTATCCATTGTTCCTATTGTTTCCACTTACCCACTCTCCCTTTTGGTGACCACTAATTAGCTTAAAGGTCCAAAAGCTTATTTTTGTCTTATTTGGTTCACCTCTTGTTTGTGTGCTCTATCTACCACATAGCAATGAAATTATAAGGTGTTTGTTTTTAGAGAGGGAAATCTCTGAATTGATGGTGTAGATGAGGCCAGCAGAAAAGAAACCAAACAGTAAAAAGATACAGTTAACAAGAACTTTGTTTTCCATTAGGCAAATATAATAATTTGCTATCCGTCATGTAATTTTTCTTATTGATAGATATAGGCCAGCATAATGATTTATTGCTACTCTTTATACCAAGGCAAGCAAAGAAATAAGCACTGATGTAACTAACCAAAAGCATGACGTCAGTAATTTTGACCTTCTGTCATGTCCTCATAGCCTCCTTGCTTTCCTCTCTCTCTGGTGTTACCACCCAGCGTTCTTCTCTCTCCATCCAGAGGGCAAGTGTTAACTAATGAACATCAATAGCAGTTGATTCACTAGCAGCAGCTTGTATAATTGTAAGACTAATGGCCCCATTTTCCCCAAAACTCAGTGTCTAGATTCTGACAGTCATTCTAACCTTTACCCTCCCTGGGATAAGCAACAGCTTTTGTTGTAACAGGTGTGTCTGACTCTTTTTTTGACAGATGGTGATGGAAAAGTTAAATTTTTTTAAACTGGAGAGAGGAAAAAGTCCACTTCATTGAATTAATTATCCATAGATTTTGAAGAAAATTAGCAGTTTTCATAGCAATGAAGAATTGCATGCTAAATTTTAGGTTAGCAAATGTCATGGAAATGTTAATGTAATTTTTAATGCATGAATTATTTTTCTGTGTCATTTCTTTTTGTTCAGCTTTAGATCAGTGAACTTGTTACATCAATAAAAAATAATAGAGGAATTAAGCATGCATCCAGGGAGGATTTTTTGGGACCATCTTCTATTTAGCTACTTTTTACTCTACCTCAAACAAGATTTTCTAAGATAAATTTAACTGTAGACAATTATGCTTTCAAGTTGCATTCAAAATGTTGGACCTGTAAAAGCAAAGGTTCAAATTCAAGTGAAATCTGAACTATGCAGGAGTTGCTGGCACATTGTCTCATGTTTTATCTGAAGTGAGGTCTGTTCTGCTAGAGGAGACATGCGGCAATCAGAGGCAAGGTAATAGATCTATCTCCATAACCCAGGCAGGTCTCTCTTGTTTCAGGTGTGTGGCTTAGTATTCTTGTGTGTTAATTATGGCTGTACTCCCGAAAACATCAGAGAGGGTTGGGCTCAGTGACTTGGATCAGCAGCTGTACCCCCAGGTCTCTGACCATGAAAGACAGGTTACAGAATGGCAGTCTACTTATTGAGGTTTAATTTTTGAGTCAAACCTTACTTTTGCTTGTGAAACACTTCACTCTTAGGATATTTCATAAAAGCCAGACTTTACCTTCCTGCTGTCACTAAAAACAGCTAAATTAGCCCAAGAATCTGTGCTCAGTTTTGTTTTGGACAGTGTATCAAAGTTAATAATAATAAAAAAAATGGAAACAGCAGGGTAGATATTTATATTTCAAGAGATTTATTGCAGTGAATTGGCTTAGGCGATCATGGGGCTGGCTGAGCGGCAGAACACATAGCAGTGAGAGTTGCAGGGCAGACTGCTGGGAAGTGCAGGCCAAGGGTGTATGTCTGAGCAAGGCTGTAGGCTGGGGGAGAAGGTGGGGGGTTCGTGCTCCCGCAGGGACCCTTTACCTTCCGTTGACAGTCTTTCAGTGGGACTATTATGAAGAATTACATCCTTTACTCAAAGACAAACCCTTACAGGCTTCAATTGCATCAACCAAGCACCTCCATACAGCACCTAGGTTAGCGTCTGATTGGAGTATTGGGGCCTATAGTCTAGCCCAGCTGACACATGAAACTGACCATTAGAGGTGGTGCACAAAAGCAAGGCTGGTGGGAGCAGGGGTTTGGGAATAGATGGGAAAGAAATTGAATCGTAAGGATACACTCCAGCAGACTGGAATACGAGCTAAGCAAGTTCAGTACTTGCTCTGCTAAGATTAATGTGACATAATTATGCCCTATAATTTCTAAGAAGCCAGGATACATTTTGCTGACAACAAAAACTACTTTTTTGTATGTTTAAGTGATGTGATCTTTAATGCCCAGGAAGATTACTTTATGTAATGGCAAGTCACCTGTCCCTTCGCTCCTTTTTGCAGCTTGACTTGTACCTAGATTTGCTTTTCTAATTTATTCCTTGCTTGTCTGTCAAGGAGAATGGTTTGTTACATTAATATAGTTCTTATGTTTTTCAGTTATGAATAGCTTTGCAAGGCTTTATGTAGCTTTTGAAAATTCTCTTATTACTGATCTAGGTATTATCACTGTAGGAGTTAAAGTCATGAGACAATTTTATGGGGGTAATTTCTTGGCAAAGTTAGGTTTTGTGCTGAAATCCTGCTGGGTGCTACACATGTTGATGGATGACCCACTGTTTAATAGAACATTTTAGTGTTCATGTAACTGAGGAATGGAGGTGCTAATTAGAACTGTGGAAAAGAATTCTGCTTTATGTTATAGGGTTTTGCATGCAGAATACTCCTTGTTCTGTCATTTCCATGGCTTTTCAAAAGTATATTTGCCAAATAACTGAAAACATGAATGTAAAAGTTTTGTAGTGTCCTATGAAAGTGTTTTCAAGGGGACTGAACTAAATTATTAAGAATAAGGTAGATAGGGGGACTTTTCACTGACCTGTAATAGTTTTATAAAATTAAGAGTCTGAACTTGTATCCTAAGTAACCTACCTGGAGATGTTTCTATATGGTCTGCATAGGGTGATAATATACCTTACAGCTTCCATGCTTGCTATGAGGTCATACATTTGCCTGGGGAACCTCTGTTACCACCTCCATATTGCTGCAAGCTGACTGGTTCAAATTGTTACTTGCCTGGGCTTTAGAGTTATTTGAGGGTTCAGTGAGACCTATTGGTAGATGAAGGCTGTGTAGTAGACGTGTGTGACTGAGGGCCATCACACACATCTCAGTGTATGACTGAGGGCCTATGTTCCAGAAGAGACTTTGAAACTAATGGTGAAAAAAAATTACTACCATCCAGTGTGTAAAAAAGAGTTGATTTATGCTACACACTTGGTCATCCCACTCACACATCTTATCCAATTTTCTCTCATTCTGAGTGGAAGTGGGACTGCTGGAGGAGACTGATTGCCCAAGAGATGACTTCTCTGGCTACTTTCCCCCTCATATCTCAATTAGTTTACTACTGTCTTTAAATTTTCTAAATTGAACTAACAGTTTACAATGGGCATGGGAAGCAAATCACAGTGAAAGCTATTACTTGAGAAGAGTCTGCCAGTTTTTCTTGGCCATCCAAGGGAAGCCCAGACAGGAGTGAAGCGGGGATGAGGGTGAGGAAATAAACAGGCAGAGGATTATAGTGTGGAGAGGCAGAATAACACTGAGGTCAAAGAAACCATTGAGGCTGAAGGACAATTTGAAAGTTGGTAGGGTTTTGAGTGGATGGGAGGGTGAGACAGGAGAAAGGATCTGAGGAACATACTCAAAAAAAACACACAACATTTTTGTGAGTCAGTGAGACTGTGAGTGACAGCCCATGGGAGGCAGTATGAATGAGCTTTGTTGTGGTGAGGTCAGTAAGTAAGGCTTATAGTTACGACTCTGGACACTTCTATCATCATTTCATAGTTAAGAACAAAGATTCGAACAGTTCAAATGTCATTCAAGGCTTAATGCACAGCTGGGATTTAAACCTGTGTCAGCTGAATCTACCTCCAGTATTTTTTCCATAGATCTAACAGGAACATTTTTACTTGAGAGAACCACTGAAGCCTTTTGAGCAGGAGGTGGAATGATATGGCAGCAAGAAGGAAGTGTGACCACCATGGTACATTGCTCTTCTTGCTTTTTAGAGCTTGCCCCCAGGTCCCACTATTTAGCTAATATGTTTATTTTAGACTTGAGACATACATACACATTCTTTACACACATATTACCAGAACATCTTAACTTTTGTACCCCACCTAATGGACTTATGGCCTTCTTGATGATATGAGCTATGTTTACTTTGTGGTTGGAATTATACTTTCAATGGTGTTATTTGATGGGTTTTGTTTATAAGGTCTTAATGGGTGTGGGTGCCATTGTTCAATGTCTCTAGATAAAAAGGTGTCAAAAACAATACAATTGAAATAGTTTCCTTATTGCCAATGTAGATGTGGATGGAGCCAGCCGGCTGAGTTACTCTGACAACCTGTCTTACGGTGAAGATGGCCCTATCTTTGCCCACTCCCAGCCCCCATGTGAGATGGGAGGTGCCCGGCGCCATGCCACATCCTCCCCAGAGAGCAGTGCAGTTCGCAGTCTCAGTCGCCAGTCCACTGAAGGCAGCTTGGAGATGGAGGAAGCTTTTAATAGCCGGGGCTTTGAAGACTCCTATGCCACGGACAGCTCCTCTGTGTGGAGTCCACAGGCAAGTTGTTTTTACTCTTATTGGGGTGATGCATGCCTTCTGGCTAGTTCTTCTTCCTCTCCCTCCTCTCTCCTGTCCCTCCCCTTCTCCCCCTAAGAAAAATAATTTCCCTCAAAAGGAAGAATTGTCTTGCAACCTTGAAAACCAAAAACCTAAAGGTCCTTAATTTGAAATAAATTTTTGTTCAGCTGAATAGGGAACAACTCCTAAGTGTGTCTGTAAGAGCATCATAAGTAAATTTCTTTCAAAATGGGGAAAGAACAGCAGTTAGGCTTCTTTTTTTTTTTAATAAAAGGCTTTTTTGTTTGTTTGTTTTTACACTTATTTTTATACAAAGGCATTTTTAGTTCCATAGAGAAATTGGTTTCTTTCCTCCATGATTTCGGTTATGAGGAATCTATTCTTATGACCCCAAACCTTGACATATAGTTATAGTTATAGTTGTATAAGTGTGCTAGTTAACTTTGAACTGAACTGAAGGCCTAGGAGATGGTAGGCATCAGCAATGACTCTTTGGCCCTGTGTTACCTTTTGGAACAAATCTCTGATCGAAGATGCTTCTGCTATGTTCTTTCTTAGCTGAATTTAGTCAAGAATGTGCCTAACCATCCAGAGGTGTGACTGAAGGTGATGATGAATAGTTACTATGTGCTAGGCACTGGTATAAGGCTATTGCAACTATCATTTTATCATACAAGTATTTATAGCTATTCTTTGTTAGATATTATTTATTATAATTCCATTTACTTGGGAATTTATAATAGTAGTATTTAGTACTTCTTTAAATCTAGTGTTGATGTTTTGAGTTGTTTAAGTCATAAAACTTTAATTTGTGGGAATTGATGCAGGGGAAAAAGAGAGAAATGGTGTTTGAAGTGTCATTCTGGAGGAGAATCTGGATGAATCTCTTATGAGGACCTTGACGAATCTCTTATGAGGACCTTGATGGTCATACATACTAAATGCTCATGAAGGAGAAGAAGGAATAAAATCCCAGAAAATCATGTTCCAAAGCCTGAGTGCTGAGGCACGGGGCAGTGGAGAGTCCCTGAGGAGGTGTGCATGTGTGTGTGCTCAGTGCTGGTGTCACTGCTGAGCACTGACAGTGCAGATCATACCAGCCCTTCAGAGAGTGGCAGTCAGGGCTATTAACCTTCCACTTCTTATAAAAAAAAAAAATCCTCTTTCTTATCAGTTTACTCCTAAGAATCATTTCAAATCCCACACAGTAACATTAACATTGAAAAATATTCCTTTTGGTTTGTTCACCACAAAAACAAGACAGAACTATTTACCTGCTTATTCATACTCCTTTCTCTTGGTAACTGCCTTAGGCTTGGAATTACTTTTTCCAGGTAACCTCCTATTTGCCTGCCTCATGGAGTTTTAATAGAAGACTTAGTGTTGAGGGTACTAAATGTTCTCAGACTCCAAAAATAACCAGACATCTCTGTGTGCTCCATTCAACCTCCTATCTATTTTGAGACAAAAACTGTAATTTGGTGCTCCTACAGTAGAGCCTCAGATGCAGCTCAGAGGCAGTTCATGTACCTGTCTGCTTTGCAGGCTTAGCTCGCCTTTTAAGAATTGATTTATTTGCTTCTGAGCTGTATTTAAGAACCTCTCTTCCCCTGAGTATTTGGCACTGGGAACAAACTGTGGGACTGTTTACTTTGGTTTGCACAGATGACATCAGCAGTATCTTACTAAAACAGAAAGGCTTTCAATTGGCAGAAAAGCTTTATAAATCTAGGTAGCCATTCACAGTGGGGTGCAAGTGTTCCCATCTTAAAAACAAACACTCTGAGGATATTAGAGCTGAAGGAATCATTTATTCTGCCTCAGAAAGAAACTGGCCATGCAGTCTGATAACCTGTGAGGCTCATGGCTTTTTATTCCCTGTCCTCCCTGCTGGAAGAGGCCATGGGTGTTCACTGGAGGCCCTGTGGGTGGGCAAAGAGATGGTGGGAGGGTGCCTGGAGATTCTGAGCATGCAGGGAGGCAGGTGTCCCACTTTTCATTTCTGCTTTCGACTGATTAACTGGTTGGTCTTGAGAAGTTAATTAAAATCTGCCAAATGGGGATAAAAATGAAGAGATTTTTACCTTACAGGAAAGTCAGCTGGATTAGTGGTATTAACAGTACCCACATGAGGAACTCTTTTGGTTGCCTGGTGATAGGTAAAGTGTGTTGAAATAATTAACTGCTATGAAATACCAGCCTCCACAATCCTTTGTCACAGATCAACCCAGGAAAGGGTCACAGAACCATTTTCTTGGGCCACAGCTTGAATTGTCTCCTTCCAGACTTGGCTGTGTCTTCTTCAAAGATTTAGGAGAGTAATTTCAGAGTTCTTCTCAAGGTTTCACCAAAAACTATAGGCAAACTGAACATTTATCTGAATAGATGGCCTTATAGGTATATGGAGACGTAGGTGGAGAGATCCACCCTATGGAGGGTATTTTTACCTTGATGTTGAAGTTGATGATAAAATCCAGGACTGTTAACTAGTATTAAGGGCAAGCACCTAACAAGATATATTTTTCAAAGTAGAGTGTGTTCCAAGTCCCATCTGTCTCCTTCATCATCCACACACTGACCGTGGACACAAATAGCCATGGTGAAAGGTTTGGGGGAGCAAAAGGGAGATATCATGGGTCAGTGTAAGGTTTAGGATATTGAGAATTGAATACTAGAAAATCCTGGATAGTCCTATCTGGGGCTATGATGGAGATGGGGATTGGGAGTGAGTTATTTAGCCTTTCTAAGCCTAGTTTCCTCCTCCATAAAATGAAGATATTAAAATATCTACCTTGTTAGGTTGAAGTAATGTTCAAAAGATCTATCTTAGCTGGACTCCGCACAAAGCAGAGCTGCAGACCAAGGCTTCTATTCCACTTTCTTAGGAAGTATAATCCCAGAGGATAAATGTAAGTGACCAGGGAATAGAGTGGGGAAAAAGGATGACAATGCTAATGAGTGCCCACCACTGTGAGACTCACCGCTTGACTTGTGGGACTGCATTCCAAGGACTTCTATCCAGGGGAGAAGGGGCATGAACCCCCCACCCTCTTTGCCAAACAGGATTCTGTAGATTTCCAAGCTTTGGCATCCATGGACATGCACATGGTGGAAGCTGAGCACTACATCGCATAGGCAGGGGGTAAGACTGTTAAATTGGGCCAGGCTAACGTCACTGAGAGCCCAGGAAGCCGGTAGCTGCAGAGAAAGATGGCATAGGAGGTGAGGCCAGCATCTATACATAAGTACTGGCTTATATGATCTTAAAAAAGTTTAGTGTAGTGTCTGTCATAAGGGCAGGGCTGATAGAGCTATGCTAGCTGTAGATGTTAGCTGTATTACTTTTGGTCCAGCAAGTAACAGAGATTTCAGGAGTGGGCTAAAATAGATGGGAATTTTAACAGAAGATTGTGACTTGATTTTGAGTTGGCCTAGCTCCTTGGAGACTTGATTCTAATATTACATCTACACTAGTTAGTTGTATTCAAAAGTCTCTATAGCAACCATTTTTATCACTCAAAACTAAGTACCTCTGAATAGAAACTCTCACACATGAATGCATGCTCAGAGGAAAAGATATAAGAAACTTCCCTTACTTTTCAAAAAGCCTAAATTTCCTTCAGAGATTAATTTAAATCTTAAAAGAGAAGGGCATTTATTAGAATTTTACTGTGTCAAGTCCTTTAACTTTTACATCAACCCTCTATAGTTGGTTGAGGACAACAGACCATGGAAAAGATTAGATGACCTGTCCTATGTCACAGAGGTAGTATGTAGTAGGATTGGGTTTCCTGGGGATGTCTACTTCAGAGAAATGTGCATTCTCACCTCAACGCTCTACAAGTTTTGTTGACAAATATACATTTTCTTGTGGTTTGTTATAAATTTAAAAATAGCCAGATTGTGAAATTAGGAAAATCTGGAGTAAAATGACTTAAGAACTGATGGTGACCAACAGTGCATTCAATGGAGTACCACTCTCAAGATCAACTCTCTCCACTTGTGATAACATGGATGGAACTGGAGGAGATTATGCTAAGTGAAACAAATCAAAAGGAGAAAGACATACTGGATGCTTTCATTTATGTGTGGATTATTGAGAAACAGGACAAAGGATTAGACAAAACCAAAACAGTGGAAATCTGACTTTGGAATGGAACTTACCAGAGGGAAGGGATGTGAGGAGAGCAAAGGAGCCTCGGAGGGCACCGTGGACTGTGGGGAGGACTGTGGAGTCTTGGTGGTGGGTGTGGTCAGGTGACATGCTTCTGAAGTGGTGTCACATTCCTCTGAATCATGTGCAGTGTTGTAAACCAATAGTAGCACACTAAAATAAAACAGAATTAGACCAAACCTTGGTAAAGCCATGCCTTCAGAGGAAAATTCACATTATGTGACACCATTGATAGTTTTCTGGAGCATGGTTCCTTGTAGTAACTGCAGTGCAGCTCAGTTTTCTCAGTGAGGTCATCAGATCTGACTAGTGACAGGTAAATTGCTGTCTACGGGTGATATTTCATGATGTAAGAAGCCATATTTGCAATTAGGTAAGTCAGCGGGTTTTTTTCTGAGCCGGGTGTTTTTCATGCCTACTAAAACTACACAACACCTCTCTGTGAAATAGGCATCTTAATGTTCATTTTCAGCTGGAGGTCAAAGAGGCTGGGCTACTTGGCCAGAGCAAAGAAACTCATCAGTGGTAGAGTCATGGTTTCAACCTAAGCATCCTGTCTCCAGGTCTAGTGCTGCTACTTGCTAAATGGCTGATGACCCCCTTGTCACTCAAAGTTACTCAAAACGTGATGAAGCCTGCAGCAACATCCCTTGTGAATGCCACCCCAGTCCTAATAAATCAGAATCCCTGGGTGGCTCAAGTCTGCATGAACATTTGACAACACTTCCCTAAACATTTCTTCCACATAATTTGGAAATAAACTGAAGCATCTTCTATCCCTAACCCCCACTGGGTTATCTGCCAGAGGTACTAGCCTGAGGAGTGTGGGCCCAGGCTGAGTCTTGTCTCTTAGAGATTCAAGGGAAAATCACCTCTTGGCAGTTGCATAGTTAACTTACTTTCTCTCAGAGGCTAAATGGTCACATGTGCCTTTTTTTTTTATTTGTACAGAACTGGGGTACATGCCAGAGATGCGGAGGGTGAGAGGGTTCACCAGAGACAGCAGGGAGCAGAACAGGCAGATCGATGAAGTACACTGCTGAGGGGAGCAGCAGGCGGGTCAGGAGAGGTCTGCCGTGCCATGTGGATCTCCTCCAGGGCAGGCGGGGATCGAACTCATGCAGAAGTGGTTTAAGCTTCTTTGTGCTGTGCTTTAACCCGCTGCACCACCAGGGAGGGCCCACATGTGCCTTTTGAGGGACAGCATATTTGAAAACATTTTGCACAGTTCAAAAAATTTCTTATTCCAAAAGTATTTGTGAAGGCTCACCACATGCTAGGCACCATGTCCTCAAAGAATCCATAGACTAGTGGAGAGATGCACCAGTACATGGGCCTTCCTAACACACAGGGGTACAACCTGGCGCTTAGAAGGCCTGGGGTTCTGAAGGAGCACAGAAAGATGCCATTTCTCCTGAATGAAATTGGGCATTTTCACTCCATTCCTAATCTTCTCCTCTGCCTACAACAGGAACAGGATGGGACCAATTTTCAGGTACCATCTGGGATCCCAGAGCCCATCTCAAAATGTGGGGATCTAGATGTCATCTTCGAATATAGAGTTGCCAGCCAAAAGCTCACAGTGACCATTGTGAGAGCACGTGGCCTCCCAGATAAGGACCGAAGTGGCGTCAACTCCTGGCAAGTCCATGTGGTGCTGCTACCCAGCAGGAAGCAGAGGGGAAGGACAGGCATCCAGAGAGGGCCCAACCCTGTTTTCAAGGAGAAGGTCACCTTCGCCAAGTTGGAGCCCAGAGATGTGGCTGCCTGTGCTGTGCGATTCCGCCTGTATGCTGCCCGCAAGATGACCCGTGAGAGAATGATGGGAGAGAAGCTATTCCATCTCAGCCACCTGCACCCAGAAGGGGAAATGAAAGTGACTCTGGTCTTGGAGCCAAGAAGTAATATCTGTGTGAGTATGTTAAATGGTGCTGCTAATGACGTGGTGTATTTGAGGATCTGGAATTGTCAACCCTTGATTTAGTACATTCAGCCTGTGAATTCAAACACCTTGATTTAATTTTCCATTTGGCTCTTCTCATCCTTATAAGCCATGATTTGCACTTCATGGTACAATGGGTTTTTTTGCACTCATCTTTCCTATAACTTGATGGATGTATTCCCTGCTCATTTTTGGAAGTGACAGCAACCGTGTGATGGAGGGCATAGAAAACTGGGAGAGATAGCTTGGCCTCCTGGGTAGTGGGTAAGTGGTAATGTCAGCCCTTCCCCCCATATGCTTTAGAATGAACCTCAGAGATGAAACTTTGAAAGTGAGGTTTGTTAGTAAGTGTGCCTATGTCAGTTGTGATTTGCAGCCCTGAACTCAAGTCCAATTCTAAGACCTTCCATTTTATGACCAGGCTCCTTTCACCTGCCCCATCCTCTGTGTGTCCACACAGATTTTCAGGGAGAGGCAAGTTTCATGTCTACAAGACAGAAAGCTGGCTACCACTGTGAGCTATACACACATGCATGCATGCATGCATGCATACATGATACATACATATGTGTGTATGTGTGTGTGTACGTGATCGGGTGTGAGGTGGTTTTAAAAAACACATTGAAAGATCAGGTAGCTATCTTGGGCTATTTGGACAGCCAGCCAGCCATTTAAAAATATTTATTGAGAGCCTACTTTGTGTCAGGCATTGTTGAGGCAAAAGGGGTATAGGAGAATAACATGGAGATTCTTGTGTCCTTGGGGAGCTTACACACTACCAGAGGAGAGCCATGGTAAAGAATCCAGCGTAGGCAAGGAAAGAGTGACAGAGGTTGCTGTCTGTTTAGAAGGGTCAGTGCGTTAGCCTCTTTGAGGCAATGACAAAATGCCAAGTCAAGAAATTGAGGGAGTCAGATAGGTGGAAGACAAAGATTCCAGACAGAGAAGAGAGTGACATGTTCAGTGTCAGGAGGAGGGAAGAGCTTGTTATGTCTCAGGAAGGGGAAAGGGGCCAGAAAATCTAGAGTGTGGTAATGGGCAATCCAGACACTAACATTTTTTTAAAAGATTTATTTATTTATGCATACAGAACTGGGGTACAGGCCAGAGGTGCAGGGGTGGTGAGAGGATTCACCAGAGACAGAGTGGGGAGCAGAATAGGCCAACTGATGAAGTATACTGCTGAGGGGAGCAGCGGGTGGGTCAGGAGAGGTCTGTCTCACCATGTGGATCTTCTCTGGGCCTGGCAGGTATTGAACTCATGCAGAAGTGGCTTTAGCTTCTTAGTGCTGTGCTTTAACCTGCTGCGCCACCAGGGAGGGCCCAGACACTTACATTTTTTTTTTTTAAAGATTATTTGTTCATACAGAACTGGGGTACAGGCCAGAGGCTCAGGAGCGGCGAAAGACTTCACCAGAGACAGAGTAGGGAGCAGAACAGGCAGATCGACAAAGTACACTGCTGAGGGAGCAGCGGGCGGGCCAGGAGAGGTCTGCCACGCCATGTGGTCACCTCCTGGGCAGGCGGGAATCGAACTCATGCGGAAGTGGCTTTATCTTCTCAGTTCTGTGCTTTAACCCGCTGCACCACCAGGGAGGGCCAGACACTTACATTTTTAATAGATGTCCTATAATTAATATATCCATATTCAAATTCTGTTTTTTTTTTTTTTTTTCAATTCCTAAAACTATTCCACCTGCAGTCTTCCCTGTCTTGGCTAAAAGCAATTTTACCCTTTTACTTGCTAAGGTCAAAAATCTTAGAAGACACCTGTGACTTCTCTCACTTTCTCCTGCATCCCTATTGAGCAATCTTCCCCAAACAACCAGCAGCTGAGTCTCTGCTGGCTTACTGAAATGGCCTCCTAGTGTTCTCCTTGCTGCTTCTCTGTCCCTGCAGACTGTCTCATGCATGGATCAGAATGAGCTCTTCCAAACATAAGCTAGACTATTTCTTGTCTCTTCTCAAACCACCTTTTCATCCCCTTAAGCTTTGAGTCAACTCTGTCTGAAATCATGGAACACAGAAATCACAGGTGGTGGGAAGGAAAGCACAGGGGTGGGTGTGGTCATTCCCACAATGCCCTACACATGTGACACTGTTTAACTCTTTTTATTACTTTCACTTACCAGGGTTCCTGGTAGGTTCTAGGGGATGATTTCAATGGCTGAGAAGAAAGGTTTGAGCCCTGCTTGTTTCTGGTGGGGGAGGTGGGCCAGCCTTCTGCTGGGTCAAACCCAACTCCTGTATCCAAGTGAGAGTCACTATCATGATCTGCTTTGCTCTCCTCCTCCTGATGTGTGTGGAGCTAAGGGCAAGTGCCTTATAGAAGTGTGGGAGAATAAACTTAACAGAAACTGTGGATTCTTCTCTGAGCTCACTTAGTATCTGCATGGTCACTGAGCCCTGATCCATAGTCCACAGGTCAGCTTCTTTATCAAACAGTTGTAAGTGTGCTCATTTTCAGTGCAAATCATTGCCTTGGGAGGAAGAATTCAGCTTTAAGCGTATGCCTGACAACCTTCAGAAGCAGAATGAGATGCCAAGTGTTCTACACTACACGATGCTAGCTACCCAGTGGCCTTTCTTTACTCATGAGGACAAAATGCCTCCTGTGTTGCTATATTCATCAAGAAGCTGCAGAGAACAGAAACAAAGCCCATGCCTGCAGTGGATGGGTTCCATAGAAACATTGGAGCACAAATTACACAGGAGGGAATTTTGGTCTATATTAAATGTATTATTAACTCTCCATGTATCTTAGAGGATTTGATTTACACTAGTAATAACATCTTTGTCTGTTTTGTCTTCAGAGAGGAAATATTGAATGGAGACAGCTCTTGAAACAAATATGTCAACTAATATTGCAGGGGCTCCCATCCATGACTGTGCTCCCAGGCCCATTATCATTCATGCCGAGTGTGCTGTTAGTAATCTTTGGCAGTCGTCGAGATTGGCCCACAATTTCAGCAAACATAATATCGGCTTTCTGTAAGAGGGAGTAGTGCCACGTGGGCCAATGGATTCTTTGTTGTTCTTCCCCTCCAGAGTGGAGAGTCTCCGCTCAGCCCATCTGCAGTTTCTCACAGTGATAGTGCTTCATCCACGCAGTCGCTGTCTCATGGAGGGGCGCCAGAGCTGCTAGTGGGGCTCTCCTACAATGCCACAACGGGGCGATTATCTGTGGAAATGATCAAAGGCAGCCATTTCCGAAACCTCGCTGTTAACAGAGCGCCTGGTAAGAGCATGTCTGTTCTCCTAGTGTTCATCTTGCAGGGGTAAGGAGAAGATTGTGCCTGCTTTCATCTTAATGCTTTAATTTCGGCAATTAAAGTAATCTTCGTATAGATTAGACAAGTTTTTGCAAAGTAATATCTGTGGATTTTTAGAATATCTTTTCAACATTTCCATTAGTTAATTTGAAGGCTACTTAGATATCTAGTTGGCTCTTGGCAAGAAATACATTCCATGTTGTTCATGGGAAAGGGTGACGTCTTCTCAGCAACATATTGTCTATGGGAAACTGGGATCTGTTTAAAGATTCCAGGTACTCAAAAACCTTGAAGGAGAAGTCAGTCAGGCTTTGGAGGGAGGCAGATCTGAGATTGAATTTCAGCTCTGTCTGCAGGCTAATTATCTTTGTCCTGATCCCATGCACTTTATCTCTTTTTAAATTCCAAAAGGCTCATCTAGAGCAAAGAAATATTAACACTACCTTCCTCGTATGTTGTTTGGAGTTTAAATACAATAGATTATGTAAAGTTTAGTACAGTGACTAAATGGTACATAATAAGCACAAAAGAAATGTGAGCGCCATGGGATGAATGGAGGAGAGTGCTGAGGAGGGAGGGAGGTCTGGGATAATAAAGGCCTGGATCACCAGAACAGCTGCTACTTCTGAGATCAGCTCTGGAAAATCATACTCTCAGGGCTCAGGAATACAAAATTAAAACAAACAAAATGAAATTGCTATCAAATGCCTCAACTGCTTCCCAACATTCTAGAAGTAGGATGAAAAATGGGATGATTCTGTTAAAAATTAACTCACCTTTTAATGATAATTGCTTGCTAGCAAAAAGAGTTGAAAGAGTTGCTGCTTCCATTCTGCTTTGGGGATCTTGGACAACTATAATCAATACAACTATAGTCAAAAGAACTATCAAAAAGAAATATCTAGTCAAAAGAACTATCAAAAGAAATATCTAGCTGCAAGGGAGTCTGAAATGTTCAGTTTCAATCCTTGCAGGCAGTTTAACTAGCAGGTAATAGAGTGGAGGGGAAGAGAGCCTGTCTACCATAGTCACCAAGGTTTTATTAGATGAGGGATGAAGCCTACACATGGTAGGCTGCAAGACTCAGAGGGTCTGGCCTCACATGATGGCTTCAATTGAATAGTCAGCCACAAAGGCAACAAAGGTCAGCTTCCACAACTAAGTCTGGGTACTCATATTTTTAGCCTTTAACTATGATGCAACTCACAAAGTTTCTGTTGTTAGCCAGTTGACATGAATGCCATTGTGCAAGGTATTCAACACTCTAGACTACAGAAGAAACCACATAAGCCCTGTTCTGTGTTGACTCTCAGAGCCAGGTGAGAAGGATTGAAAATGCATGTGAGTGCTAATTATTAACTGCACAGTTATAATTTCTTGCTAGCTAAAGCTCTCTATTCCAAATTAGCTGGGATTTACTAAAGAATTGGTTTTACTGTTTGTCACTCAGAGCTTTCTCTATTTGTTGTCTGCTAAATAATTTTTTAAGAAGAACATAGTGGAGCTGCTGGGAGTGATGGGGAGGTTTTTTACATTTTGGCCTATTCCAGCCCATGCCAGAAAACTTTAATTTGTGTGCTGGTGCACCCAGTCAGTACAGAAGAGAAGGGTGACATGGTGGCTAAGGAAGACTCAGCTGGAGTCTGACAAACCAAGGTTTGCATGTAGCTCTGCTACTTACTAGCTGTGGGTTATCAAACTTTTCAGCATCTGAGGTTCCTCATCTGTAAAATGGGGTCATCATGGTATATTTTCTAGGTCAAAGTACTACATATAAAGCTGTGCTGCTGAGGAGGGTACAATGGTTTCCCCTACATTTCTGTATAAAAGACATTATGCCCAAAGAGGAAATTCTCATAACAAATATTTAAAACAGAGCAGGAAATAAAGGGAAAGCTCTAATTTAGGCCTTGATTTTACTCCAGAAGACTCAGTCAGTTTGGGAATTATTACATGATTTTTCATAAGCTTCATTTTGCAAGTTAATGTGAAACGTAACTGACATGCTGCACCTTTGCAGCCAAAGTAATAGAAGACAATGTTACTGCTATGCTATTAATTAAAACAGAAACCCAACAGTGAAGACAAAGTTTTTTTGTTTATGTAGAATGCTGGTACTTGAGGAAAATTCAGTTTAATTAGGAGGGGTTGAAAAGTAGAAGGTTTCTTTGTGGAGATTCTGAAAGGACCTCTTGGTCCTTTCAAGGACTTGGGATGCTGATGGCATTGGTTCTTCATTATGTCTCACTTCATAATGGCTCTAGCAATACTTTGACCATCATCAGGAGACCTTAAGATTCATTTGTAGTTTCCAGAAGGAAGAGACCAAGAGCAAGAAAGGAATAAGAGATTTTTGAAGTAATTGGACAGAGTTGGAAATAAAAGGGGAAAAAGAAGGTGGGTGGAATCTGGGAGATAAATGGGGTGGAGTGGGAATGGAGAGTGTTGGAGGGAGCGTGGCAATGAGGAAGGGCAGAGGAACCCCAAAGACCTGCGTAGAGTCGGCCATGAGGGGGTTGTTGATGAAGAGACATGTGGAGAGCATGTGTGTGCAAGGGCCATAAATTCTGTGCCTCACACAAGCTGCTCAGATGCAGTTATTCTGCTGTGAAGGAGGACACCCTTCCTCCCCCACAGGGTAGCTGTGATACATACTGTGAAGAATGGCCCTTGGACAAGTGGGAAAAGAAAAGATGAAGACTGAATTCTGGGGATTTTTCATCTGTAGAATGTCAAAGGTTCTAATCTTGCTGGAAACAAAAACTAAGGCTGTGATTTAGAAGTGAGAATATTTTGTTTCAAAATATATTAAAACAAAAGATAACTTTGAACTTGCCAACCTCATTCTGTCATATGACAGTTCTAATATCCTAAACTTTTCTTCAAAAGCAAGATAGATGAGTTGGACAAATAGTTGATCACGTTTCTCTCTTCTGTTAGGGGCTAAGAAGAAATAACTGAAATATAAATCTACCTCCCCAAACTTCTGTGGTATCTTTGGGGGAGAGGCTTTAGTGAGAACTAGATTTTGCAATAATGATAATGAGCCAGAGAGGAGCACTCTTAGAGATAACTAGTCTGTATGCCACCCTTCTCCCAATACCCAATAACTAAATTTGAAAAAGTGGATTCCATCACATGTTAGTAACAGTGTGGCATAAGGTCTGACAATTTCTTATATAACTACACATGCACCAAAAATTTAGCAGTTTAATTTTTTTTAAAGATTTATTTTATTTACTTTTGTGTAGAAGAACTGGCTATAGACTAGAGGTGTGGGGCATGAGAGGATTCACCAAAGACAGAGTGGGGCGCAAACAAGCTGATTGACTGAAATACACTGCTGAGGGGAGCAATGGGCAGGACAGAGAGGTCTTCTGTGCCTTGCAGATCAGCTCCCTGATCAGGGATGGAACTCAGACCATGGTGATGATAGCACTGATACTAAGGCCACTAGGGAGGACCTCAGCAGTTTCATTTTTAAATCGACATAGAATTTTGCTTTAGGTATGCAACAAAATGATTTGATATTTGATGTGATTATTGCAAAATGATCACCATAATAAGTCTAGTTAACATCTGTCACCCTTCGTGTGGAGAAAAAGGAAGTCTCTTGCACTGTTGGTGGGACTGTAGACTAGTTCAATCCCCTTGGGAAAAAAAGTTAAATTCTTGACGTTTGTGACAACATGGATAGAACTGGAGGGAATGGTGCTAAGAGATGTCCCACTTGAACATTATAATCAACATTTTCTTTTTCCATTCATCATCTATTGATGGACAAATTATTTCCTTATCTTGAATGTTGTAAATAATGCAATGTGTCCATGCAATGAGTGCATGTATATTTTTGCATTAGTGTTTTTATTTTCAAGTTAGTGCTTGTATTTATATTTGAATAAATATACAGAAGTAGAATTGCTGGATCATATGCTAGTTGTTTATTTGAGGATCTCCACAGTGTTTTCATTATGGTTACACCAAGCGACAGTCCTACCAACAGTGCACAAGATTCTCTTTTCTCTATGTCCTTACAAACATTTTCTGTCTTTAAAATAACAGCCATTCTAACAGATGAGGTGATAGTGTATTGTGATTTTGATTTGCAATTCCATGATAACTAGTGATGTTAAGTACCTTTTCAAATACTTACTGTTCATCTATCCATATATCTTCTTTTGTAAAAGTCTATTCAGGTCATTGATCCATTTTAAAAATAGATTATTTTCTTGCTATTAAATTGCAAAGTTTTTATTAGCTGAATAATATTCCACTGTGTACATATACCCTACCTTATTGCAAGAACATGGATGGAGTCAGAGGTTGTTATACTTAATGAAATAAGCCAGATGGGAAAAGAAAAACTCCATACTGTTTCCCTTATATGTAGTATATAAAAGAGCAAACAGAAGGAAAAGGGACAAGTATATTGGACAAGGGGGACAGTGGCATTGGTAAAGGATGGAAGTGGATATTTAGTAGAGAAGTTAATGTAGCATATATATATGCTTATTTTCAATAGTGCATACTGGAAACTTCTACAATGTAATATTCATTTAAAATTTTTAATAAAATAAAAAACTAAGTAAAAAATAATGTGGGAGAGAACGGGGATACCAAGCAGCTGAACTTAAAGATATCTTTTGTAATACCCTTTATAAACCATATTCAAAGGTCCAGAAATGGTCTCCATGTCTGTACATGACTAGTGGACCAGTGAAACAGTTGCTTATAGTTCCTGGTAGATCTCTGAAATATTGATACTCATTTTCAAATGTTTTTAAAATTTTACCATTGAAATTAGAAACATTGGGTTATCTTTCCAATTTAGCTTCATGGGAGAGAAATTCACTAACAATCTATCAACTCTGTTCTGTTTTTTTTCTAGACCTGCCATCCAATTATTACATGTCCTCAACTTTTGATCTAACCTCTCTGAATTTCATTTCCTTCCCTACTAAATGAG